GTAGCTCGGTACCGCTCCCACGCCCTCGTTCTTGGCGAACCCTCCGGAGGCTTGGGTATTATACACGTTAATCTCGATCCTCCCCCCCGCGCCTGCCCGCGATAAAATGGCATGTACTCCGTGTGTAGTGCGGGGTCGGTGGTGTCCAGGCCCTGGCGGACTGCCTCGAGCAGAACTCGGTCATGTACGGGTTCGTGCGCGTGACAGAGACGTCCCAGGGCACGAAAGACTCGGCCGGCGGCAGCGGCAGCACGGAGAAATTCTGCTGCATCAAGTGGGCACCCGACGATGGGCCGGCGGAACAGCGGACCTCCGAGCTCCAGGTAAGGTGTTCCGCAGGCACGGAAGAATTGTTGCGAAGCGGGAGCTTATTGCCAGCGTTGCGAAGAAAAGGGTGACTTAGGGCCTTTTGTTTATTGAGGAGTGAAGACGGCAAGCTGGCCCACGCACGGAAGAAGGGTGATCGCCCTTTTACAAACACTGATACACGAATAAACTCCCTAGATCTCCGCAGGTCCGTACTTTCATAGTGCTGAGCACACCTAACAGAAGGGACGGGTGTTTGGTAGGGCAGAACCGGCGAGAATTGAGCAGCGAAAGCACTCAGTCGTCGTGTTCATGAAGAACCCTTGTTTCTAAAAGGCCGTTTTGTTCGGGTGGGAGGGCGGTATTGTGGGACTCTGATGCTTTTTGCATTTGCGCCGCTTTTCTCGGTTCAGTCTGAAACAGCGGGGGCTCAGTTCTTCGCGGCATTAAGTACGATAGAAACTCCAGGCATACCGGTTAAGGGTAAAAACCGACGTTCAGCGAATCAAAGCCAAGACGATAACAGCCAAATGCAATCTTGACGCTTAGTGCCCCGACCCCTCTCCCAATCCGCGACCCACGACGGTTCAGGGAGAGGTTTCGCGACTGTTCCACCCATACCACGGCGACTTGACGGCCAAGCATGCGGGAGATGTCACTACGGAAGCAGTCAGCGCGAGAGTCTCCAGACGGCTCAAGCAGTAGGTCCCCTGGCGGAGCACACACACCGAGACGAAGAGACTGATCGTTAAACCAAGATTCGAGAGGGGGGGGGGGGGGGAGGGAGAACGCCGAGAAAGGGGTGCAGCACCTGGGAGAGAGAAATCCGGAAGTCTGTTCAACACATCGACTCGTATCGAGGCAGTGGGGGTGGGTGAGCGATTACGGCACGCCTCGATATCTTGGCGAGGGGGTGGTGGGAGAGCCGACCCGCATTGCTTAACTGGAGAGGCGGGGTGTCGTCACCCCATCGCATGGGCTCGAGCAAGGGTCGTGTACGTCGAGAATGTGGTGGCCTGGCAGCGTCAAATACCCTCGAGAGGGGGACCGTGAAGAACAGATGTCGAGGGGATGCAGTGACCCTAGCAAAGAGGATAGCATCCAGACGCCCGTTCAATTGGTGAAACTTGTAACTTTATCAATTTCATTTGGAAGGCCCGGCGCGTCTTTGTGGTTATTTCGTCTCTACGTTGGCATACCAAGTATATTAATATGTTGCTATTAGACGAAGGAGACGAGAAGAGGAGAAAATTGAGCCCATTTTTAGTGTGTGCGCTCTTGTGAATGTGTGGATATTTGTGAAGACAGCTTGCGTTTGCAGCGCTCTATAGAGTTTCCCTGCCGCGTTTGTTGCCGCTTGTTATGGGTAACGGGTTGAGGAGTGCAGGCGCCTCAGTTCCCAGTGCAGGGGCGAAGGGATGGGAGGGAAGGAAGAGGAGGAGGATGAGGGGGAGATATTCTCTCTCGGATGATCTGCGGGGCCCTCCGCCCCTCCAACGGCGAGCGCTCGTGCTCAGGGGTATGTGGTAAAGAGGAATATTAATATTGTGTTTTAGATTGGGTCTTCTGAACTCATTTCACACGAAAGTACTGCTGTAGTGCCAGTACTACATCTCACCGGTGGTCTCGCTGTGTATGCCTACGACTCTTTTTCAAAGCTATAGCTCTCTGCGTAGAACTGGACTGCAAGTGCTTGTCCGCCGCGATGAAAAGGTGCGTTTATGGCTTTAGGCGCTTCCGGCCGGTTGATCGCTGTTGTGGGCCGCAATCTCCATTGTCTGAGAATAGAAGCCGCCCCCTCCCTGACAACAACCAACCGGAACCAAGTAAGGTCCGTAGTTTGGAGCTGCTCTCCTGATTCGTTGCTTGGGGGGGTCTGACGTTGAAGTTGTGGCGTGTTCTTTTTGCGCGGCAAATACCCGGGTCGTTGTCCCCACTTTCTTCGGGATCGGGTAAACGATAGAGACAGAGGTTGATGTCTATCTTCTGGGCCGTTTTATTTCTCAAGACTCACGACAGTTAATCAGTTCCAGACTTGCTGCCGAGTTGGTAGATGTTATTATTTAGATTTTTGCAAGGATAAGAGGCAAAAGAAAAAACTGGGGTGGCCCCAGGTAGTTTGTACGTTTCGTGTGTGGAAGCGTTACCGCACTTACCCCCCCCCTCCTAACCGTTGTAGCGCGTAATTTGTGTTACCCGGTATTAATAGTTATTCTAGTCCCCTGACATAGATGGAATGGCCTTAATTGTGGCATTATAATAGGTGAGGGGCTGTTTCGTCTCTCCGAGCAAAAATTTTCGTGGAGCATTGTTGGCGAGAGAGTCCCATGGCGCTTTGTCCTCCTCGGTACGAGGATCAGCCATTTTTTAACGGAAACGGTACCCTTGTTGTATGAGTTTTTCCCTGTCCGCGTTGAAAATCAGAGGCTTAGGGTCTGCTAAGACTGTGTAGTCAAGAACGGTTCCCTGGTGTTTTTTTTACTGGTGTTAGATTGCTTGGTGGGTTCTTTTCAGTGAACGTCAGATCTGCTGAAAAGAGGTCCTCACTAAAAACAAGATAATAGGCTGATTACGCAAGTCAGAAGTCTATCTGTTCAAGTGACCTGTGTTACGGCGGTAGCAGCAGCGAGCAAGCAAGGTAACAGAAGCGTGTGCCACACCTTAGGTGTGCTGAGGTGCACTGTAGACGTGAGTCTACAACCAAATGGTATTGGCTCAAAGAGAAATGAGAAACAGATGTTGTACAAATTTGTTATATTGTTCAGCTGGGCAGGAAACAGAGTGAGCTCCGGTGAGGGGGGGTGCGCTCTGCCTGGTCAGCGTTTTTGTCGGTTACCGACGAAGCTACGAAGAACCTTAGTACCGTTCCGGAATCGTTCCGGGAACGTTCTGGGAACCAAATTTAGTTCTGTAATACCAAAAGCACTGTTCCGGAAACGTTCCGGGAACCTTTCTAATCTTACTCTGGACTTTTCCTGAGAACGTTCCTGAGAACCGTTCTAGGAAAGTATACGAACCGTTACGGAATCGTTCTAGATACCTTTCCCGAAACATCGTTGTTCAAGTTGAACTTACTTCCTTAATAGCTTATCATACCGCGTCTAGTGTGCGTTATCACTCATACTGACTCTGGTATAGTTTTGTTCTACTGAAATCGCTCATGATGTATCTGACATCGTATACTGTGTTGTAATCAAGAGAATACGAATAACAGCTGTCTTTATCAGTTGATACTGATATTTCTACTAGTCCGTCCATCCGTCCGTCTGTCTGTTGGTTTGTTCATCTTGCTTACTCTGCTTGTCTTCTGCTGGTTGCCCGACCCCACCTCCGACGAGTTTTTTTTCCTGACATCAGTCGCACGTACAGCGACGTTGTGTGTGGCACTGACGGCCAGGACGATTCAGGTTTCTTTTGTGGTTGGCATGCAACGCGTATCCAACACAAAATTATCGGTCCGGTATCGATGCTGCTATTTCGGGTGCATGTCTCTCTGTATCATTTCCTGTTCGTAATCGGGCGATTTGATATGTTCAAATTGTTGCAAGTATTCCCTATTTAGGCATTTCTTGTCGGCCCTCTCCGACTGTGTTTTTTTTTCTCGTCTATTTATTTCCTTTTCCGGTTTTTGTTCAGTTGGCCACAACAACTAATTCATCTGCTTCACACCGTCTGGGATAGATTGTTGGCCATGGGTTCATAGCGTCAGAAGTTCGTTTCTTGCGGCCGATGCTTTTTCACGGCATTTATTTGCGGGAAGAAAAGTAAGTCTAGAGTAAGGAGGCGTGGTTGGTGTGTATGTATGCGCTTGTTGTGTCCCGCGCCTCCGATGAAGTTGTTTTCATGATTTAGCATTCTGGTGTGAATTCAGGCTCGACGACGGTAACGGCAAGCCACGGGTAGTCCTTGCAGGGGCACCATCCGGTATGGCCGGGACAATATAGATTGGTCTGTTGTGCATTCAGCAGACATGCAGTATCTAACAAACCGCTGTAAATCTTTCGTATTTGTACAAGTCGATTCCACAAGAATACCGGCACTGCTGCTGTGTTTACTTGTACTGGGTTGTCAAAGTTGTGGCTAGAATATATATCCGGTTAACACCGCGGTGGTGCCAACGTTGAAGTTGTGCGGGATATCCTCGCTGTTTCTCGGTACTGCGGACGAGGCTCACTCATGTGCGAGGTCATACATACGCAGTAAGCATGCTGGATGCAACGGCATAAACCACATAACAATGGTCGGCGGAGAGATTCCATATTTTTTTGTCGGTTAAACTCTGTGCAGAGGTCTTGCGCGGGAAAAGTGCTAGGACGAGGGCACAAAAACATCTTTGCCGTATCTGCGTAGACATCTTTTTGTCAAAATTAGCCCTTGACGTCGTCTGATTGGTCAACCAGTCAGCAGCGTGGACTACGAGGATCCGCATGCAATCAATCGCCTATTGCGGGGGTGATGGGCAATATAGCTTGCGATGATCTCACTTTGTTAGTTCGGCGAAACGGCCAAGGGTGTCTGGACTTTATGCCGTTCTTCATTAAAACCGCAGTTGATCTCGTCACCGGCCGGTCGATCACTAATTTTGGTTTTATAGTGAGGAAGTGCCTCGAACACAGCAAGCTGTGAATGCTTTCTTCATGTACGTGCGTGCGTACGTCGATTCATTTCACTGTCTATATACAGAGCATTTTTGAACCAATAGTAACCAGATTGTCTACACAGCACAGTACGCGGTGAAACACAGATGTATTGACCTTGTGCTTATGCGCTCTATTGATATCCCTCCACCGGTGTGAATCACGGACAAGCCGTTAGTACTACGATGAAGACGCCAGTCTGATGTGCAAGGTATACACCTTCCCCGCGATATTACACTAACTGCAAATTATTAGCGTCGTCGCGATGGATCACACCTCCGGGAACTGCTGCATCTGCCACGCGGCGCACAAGGAGGCAGGATCTCACAGAGCATGGTTGAGGGAAGGGAGTACAACTATCATGAAAACTTACTGATCATTTCGTCTTCGGGGCGTCGCTTTCCATATCGTCACGCGATCCTCATCAGCGACAGCAGGGTTGGCTTCTTTCGAAAAAGCAAGGTGCGACAAAATCAAGTTATGTGCGGGCGTAGCTTCGTCCTGGCGGCATCTTCCATTCCGTGTTCTGCTTTCTATTTGTCAATGTGCACTGTTGGTCCCATTGGTGCCGTCGTGTGTATCCAAGGTATGTTTTGCGGACAAATATGATATGCACGATGATTGCCGAATGTCACGATGTGCACGCGACATGGATATACCGTATATGACACAAGATAACACACCCCCTTGGCCGATTTTCAAAGCTCGATTTCTCAACAGCAGGAAGAGTCACAGCGCCGAAAACGGCGGCGTTGGAACCGTCTCGTCGAGAGCTGTTCGAAAACGTATTGTTTCATTTATGCATCCTCTTCGTCGTGGAGTAATCGAGCTTTGAAAATCGGTCCAGGGGGTGTGTTATCTTGTGTCATATACGGTAGACTAGGGGTTCCGTCGTATCATGCAATGTAATGTTGCGCAGGGCGCAGCCCCCGAAGATTCACCAGTCTGCGGTCTGCGGTTGCTCACAGAATTGGGTCCACACACAACGCACAACGCACCAACGGCAGACACACCACACCAGATAGGGGGAGGAAGGTCGCCGCCTTATCGCTTCGTTCACAAGAATGCCGCAACCTAATGACGTTGTTAGCGTCTGGTACCACCTGGACTTCCTGTTCTCTTGCACAAGTGAGTGAGAGCGAGCATGTGCTCCTGAGGACCAGATGTGCGGGGAGATTTGCATCACTACAATACACCCGGTGTACACAGTAGACGAGCGGTTACACCGCCATGCTCGTGCGTTCCCTGGCGGGTCTCTATCTCTGGGTGGCACAACATGTGGTGGAAGGGTCTGGTCTCCTGTACATATCGAACGCTGCGCCTAGGCTGTCGGACTGGACAGCAAACTTGGCTGCGAACGCAAGGCCTGCTCTGCTCTGGTGCTCCAGCTCCGGAAGCGTGCAGCAATAGCCTATGGCTAACCGCCGCCAAGCTCTTGCTTAGAGGATAGATATGTCGGTTCATGCCTCCTGTTTGTTGACAACGGGCTTGCATTTATCCACGAAGACTTCGTATGCACCAACGCCCCATGACGCAAGTGACACCATACATTACAGTATCACCGCATCGAACCGGTACAGCAGTACAGCAGTTAGCGCCCAGAGCCTCAAAACCTCTGAAGCACATGGGCACCACAGACGTAGCGGCCATTCGTAGCATAACCCTAGGGACAAATAACTTTGGCCTCGGTCAAAACTGCAGAGCTCTTCCGTGCGGGCGCCAACTGTTGTTGATGTCCCCTCGCGGTCCCTTTGGATGAGGCGATCGTAATGGCCGTGTTGCGTCGATGGACAACTAGACTACTACTGTGTCAACGCTTTCTGTGGTAGACCCTTTCGCGTGGTAGATGCCAACACGCAGAAACTGTCTCGGGTCAGGTGCCGGTTTGCCGTGCAACGGCGAAATATCTCCTCGGAAGCGGTGGTCTGTGGTTGTTCTCGTGCCTTTTGTTTTCTGACGGGCGGACCCACCCGCCCAATGGAGGCGCAGAGCGAAACGGCCGAGCACCCCCCAACGTGCCGTCGTTGCCTGCTGCTGCTCCTAAATAACGCGTACTGGTGTTTGGTCTACCAACGTCGGCCAGCGCGCTTGGCTTACCCCCCCCCCCCCCCTGACTCAGGAATGCTGTTTGCGGATGATTTTGTTGGTATGTCGGACACCCCTGAGGGACTGCAACTACAAATTGACGCGGCGAGAAGTTTATTGATAAGTGGAGATTGTCTGCCAATGTAAAGAAGAGTGCCGTCATGGTGTGCAACGAGGTCAGGGAGGAACCAGTAGAACATAGATGGAAGTGGGGGATCGAGGAGATTGCAGTAGTGGACCAGTACACATACCTCGGAGTAGAGATTGCAAAAGACTGCTCGTGGAATGCACACATATCTAAGGTAGCGGAAAAGGGCAAAGCACGAGCAGGGAAGCTGCACCCAATACTCGCAAACCGGCACCTCGATACACGCATCAAATTGACGGTTTTGAAGAGCGTAATCGTACCGCCGCTAGAGCACGCCGGAGAGGTATGGGAAGGAAATAAGAAGGTAGTGAAAGAACTCGAGGCGGTGCAGATGAAAGCAGCGAAAATCATCCTAGGATGCTCCAAGATAAGTAATGCAGCCGTCAGCGCAGAATTGGGGATCCAATCCCTACGGTCGGGAAGAGACGCAAGGAAGCTGACATGGCAGTATCGCATGTGCGGGATGGGAGAGGAGAGGTTGCCGAGAATAGTATGGGAGGCGAAGTGGGCAAACAAAAAGAGGGTTAGACAACCCACGGAATGGGTCAAGGTTGTAGAGGACATATGGAAGGGGTTAGACATCGACGAAGATGAAACGCTGGAAACGGAGGGTCTACAGGGATTCAAGGAGAAGATATCTGTTGCTTGTGCCGAGAGAGAAGAACAGAATCTAAGGAAAGAAGCCGAGGATAAGGAGGGTCTAGAAGTGTACGGAATGTTGAAAGAAGGAATAGGGTTCAAGGATTACCTACATGGACCAAAGGATGCAGGGACAAAGCTCAAGGTCAAATTCAGGACTGGGGACATAGGCCTTCGAGAACGTCGACGAAGACATAGGACGGTAGACGACGAAGACGACAAGTTCGAATGTGATTGCGGCTTCGAATGCGAAGACCGTGTTCATGTAGTCGCGAAATGTCCTTGTTACGAAGAGGAGAGGGAAGTGTACATGACTGAGCTGGGAAAAATACAAGGGACGTACAGGGAGATGTTTGCGGCATGAAATAGAGAGGAGAGGACGGTAGGTGTACTGCGGAGTGGGAAGTGGTTTGAAAAGGCGGGAAGTAATATCGTTAGGACAGACAGAATACGGAAGACATTTTTGAGCCACCTTTGGCAAAGTAGGAAGGAACGATTGGCCATCGGTGATCGGTCCCGTGGGAACAATGCTCCGTCCTCTCGAGGACGCGTGGTCAATGGTCTAACCGCTAAGGCATGCAAAACATAAGAGTACGCCCCCCCCCCCCCTTGACTCTTGCAGCGCCTGTTAGCCAAGCGACGCACTACTACCGAGAGGGGCGGTACACGTCCTGCTCCGACTGTTGGAAAGACTTCAAGACGTCGATCGCGGCCAAGATGTGTAACGAAGAGCAAGATGCACTTGTGAGTAGTCCAATACAACAGGCCAACCGAAAAACCCGGGGGTGATCGCTGTGTACTCAACTGCCACGCAGCAGGTTTCGTGCGAGTTCCGTTTCAATGCTTCAAGGATTCGCCGTGCGGACCTATTTTTAGGCAGTTCCCTTCAAATTCTATCTACAGTGTAGTACACTTTATTCATTTTTTTTTTTGCGAGATGTGCTGTATCTCTTCTCTGTAGACTGGGCCGATGGAGATTGTGTCACCAACTGTGCTTACATAGCAGACGTACAGGTTGGGGTTTTCATGTTGTGCTGAACTACGAAGTGACCACGCTTTTGGCGACCGAGTATGGTTCGCATGCATACACGGCCAGAACACTCACGTGCTGTGGTCGAAACGTGCACGTTGTGCAAAGCGATAGCTGTGATGCAACGAGAGGCATGCACATGGAGGTTAGCCGTAGGAGATGTCACCGTGCTATTTATCGTATGTCCTTGAGGTTCAAATTCTCCCCCACCCCTCCCTCCGAACGCGGCTCGTCTTTGCACCTGTTGCCTTCGGCAGGAGCTGTTGAAAGGGTTATCCTACCGGCAGCGACAGGGAGACCTCAATCCTTCGCTAGCCATTTGGGAACGGAAAGAAGAGCCGTCATTAACATGATGAACGTTTCGCTTTTCGGTGTATTTCGAGCCTAGTAAGTCATCGATTGATTGCTGTAATTCGTGGGTGTTGTCTTCAGAATGATTGTTTACAGAGTTCATTCACTCCGTCGTTCGCTCTTTCCTGTTGAGACAAATATATGTAGATCCTCGCGTGGGAATGGGTTGGTAAGCATCGTCGCACACCACGTACCGATGTTTCCGTGGTCAATGAACCGCGTCTGCTTGCTGAACTTCGATGAATCTTCATGACCTGCAACATGAGATACGGATTGTCTCCAAATGACCTCCCTCCCCAATTGACCTCGGGATGTCAATGTTTCTTATGATGTATGCGGGCGCGCAGATCACTTGAGTATTGTGCATATGCTATCGCCCCGTTGGAAATCGAGACTATCACAAGCGAGCGCAGCATATCTCTGCGCAAGGCTGACAATACGACTACATACAACCATCTCTGATGGACTCCGCAAGAGCGTTGCCTCCCACAAACACTCACGTGGCACAACTCGTGCTTTCAACCCCCCAATTTCCCATGGATGGCACCCGCTCCGTCAGAGACCCCAACAGAGCAGAATAACTTCGGGATAAAATCGAATCCACCACGTTCGTACATGTCATCAAACACGCGCTCCCTTGAACCGCGCAGAATATCGGACTGAAATACCAAAGACAAGGGCACCAAAAAATGAAGGCTAAACTAGAGTACTCAAAGACCATACGATATGTACAATCCGACGAGAGAGAACCGCGCACCGCATTGGTAGCGACCGCACGTACATGCATCTCGCTGCCGCTCACATCACAGAAGCCACCTTGGTCACCCTGTTGGTCCTTGCACCCCTCCCGCCCGCTGCTCTGTACAGAACATCGACATAGCTCACGTAACAGGCAAAGCGGTCGGTGCCCCAACTAAAGAACATCCTGTTAAGTAATTTACGCAAGCCTTCTCACGAAAAACATGAACACAGGGTAGAACAGCTCAGCGGTGGATCCGACGCAAATTTCTGGCATATGATAGCCTGTGCTCGACGGTAGTGACGAAGTAGTTGAACGAATGGAGACTCAAGGTTGCACCAGATTGACGTTTCTTGTATCTGGGGGCCAACTGTACAACTCACACCAGCAACATACATTTGGAACAAGCGCACCATACAAACTACACGTCAAGTGCTGTCTGGTGCTCGCATCTCTGGCGTAACACCCCGAAATCAGTGCGAGCAGCACTTGCTCTTGCCGGCCCCACCTGCGCTCGGCGCGAGATCAATCGTCGGGTTGCCCGAGAAGAACCCGTCGGGCTTGAGGGTGAAGCCCGTCGACTCGCACGGCATGACGGGGAAATCCTCTACCCGGGGCACATGAAGGAGTCCGAAAGAGTGCCACAAGACCACGTCCTCGTCCTCGACGTTCCTGCCCAACACGTAGCGAAGGAGTCAGCAGATTTGTTTGCCCCGTAACCCCAATAGGCACGTATCGTATATCAATTTTGCGAGGACACGTAGAGCCGGCTTTGCCATGCACGCAGAGAGCCTCCACAACACGGCTGACAAGACAAGGTTCCCTCTACGACGTGCCCGCCCCGGCGATCCAAACCTTCGACGGTCGTCACGTATTTACGTGTCACAGCAACAGGCGAAGAACATTGGTTCGTGTTCACCTGTCGTGCTTCGTCCAGGCGGGGAGCCCCTCCCCGCCGGTGCTCTGCACCGTGAAATCACCGGCTGGCCACCGCTCGTCATCCCGGTGCGGCGTAACCCAGAGAGCCTTGGTCGCGAACTCGCCCCGGGCGGTGACCGCGCTGTCCTCTCCCGTCATGAGCAACGGGTGCGTCGGGCCGAATGTCTGAGGCACGAGCTTGTACGCTACGGGCTTCCCGTTGATCGGGTTGATCGAGGAAGGGTTCTGGATCAACCAGGACCGGGCGGCTCGCGGGTTTGCCTCCCGCTGGGCCTGCTTCTCCGTGACGAGGGGCGTGTACTGGGCGCGGAAGGCGTTGCCTGCGGGGTTGTCCTCGCCACGAGGCACACGGACCACGTCCGCCTCCTTGACGGTGTTCTTGTGGCCGTCCACGGACATGTCGAGGCGTGCGCAGAACATGTGCTACAGCGGGGGGTGGGAGTCGCGGCGAAAAGAGGGCCATAAAACGTGAAACGAGCATGACAGGAACGGCGGCGGGGGGCGAAGGGTGTGCTCAGATCCGTGCGCGGGGCCGGGCCGGCTGCGAAATCCGCGAGTTTCGAACGGTGGACGGGTGCTGTGTCGGCGGTCCAGTCGGACCCCATCATTCACAGCGCCAAAGTTTACATGCTACGCCGCTGATTGCATGAAACTCAACATCATGGAGGTAGACAACCCGGCCGTCGTTCGCGCTACATATTGCGGTGTGGTACATTGCTATGAATAATGAAACGACCTCAGCCACGCCCTTAAACCGAGCGAGAGGGACATTTTTCTTATTCGGAGCCATCCATGCCTGGTGGAGTTGGGCGTTGACCCCAGGCGCCACGATGACGCCATGCTGCGGGGTCGGCTCGCCTTCCGAAAGGAGGTTCGTCGAGAGCTCGCCCGACAGCTTAATCTCGAACTCGATGCTGCCATCTTGCATCAGGTACCAGTAGAACAGATACCTTTTGGTGTCCAGAACGCACGAGAGCAGGGAAACGGTTGGTGATAATATCCACGGGGGGAGCGGGCAGCATCATCGGGGGGTGGTAAGGTAGAGGGGGGCGGGCTGAACGGACTGACAGGCTGAGTGTGTGGTTCAGCAGCAACGCGCGCAGCACATCGCGGCTGAACCCTGGACAGCATATGCAAATGGAAAACCGATGCCACATCGTCAGCATTCTGCTGTGACCTACGGAGCACTGTGCAGCTTCTCTGCCGTTCCAAGCCCGCGGACTGAAGGCTAACAACTCACTCGTAGTTGACGACGGTCGCGATGAATGACAGGACCAGCCTCCTCGACCGGCGGCTCTCGTTGTGCCCGCTGGTATACACGTGCTTCCACAGGAGTCCCGCGTCCTCCTCGTGCATGCACACCGCCTTCTCGACTTCGTACGGCTGCCCGCGACTGTCGTTCAGCGTCGCGTCGAAGTAGTGGATGTGGCCGAGGCAATCGCAGCCCAGCTCGAGTGAGTTTGTGCAGAACCCTAGACCGTAGTCCCCGACGTCGAAGGCGCACTTCCTCGTGAACGGCTCTTTGGGGTCCCCATATGGGACCGCCATCTCGACGAGGCTGCCGCGCCACATCACCGGACGGCCGTCGAACTTGACGTCATGAAGGACTAACCCCTCTCTGTAGTTGAAGCCGATGCGCAGCGTCCACCGCTGCCACGAGACCAAGCTCCCGTCCACTGAGAACGACGGGCCATCGGGCTGGGTGATCTCCAGCGGGCGCGGCGGATCAAAGCGGAACTGCGTCGGGAGGTACGTGTTGCTGGCGACCTTGTTGCGGTGGTAGTTGACGGAGTCCTTGGGCACCTTGGGGGCGGCGACCTGCTTGTCGACGTGGACCACCTTTTGGGCGTTGAGATCCACCACCGGAAGCATATCAAGCTGCGGTGGCGGCGGGGGCGATGGTCCGGCGGGGTTGGTGGCGTCGGGGAGGCGGGAAGGGCGCGGTGTGTGCCCGTGCATGAGGAACAGGGCATGCGGCGGGGATGAAAATGGGAATTTTGTACAGCAGGTGTTGCAGAAGCGGTTCCTCGTAAGAAGCTAGAATGCGAGCTGTGCTGGTCAAGCCTCCTTTCTCCTCATTGCAAGCACGTGGCACGTTTAAAGAACAGTTTGAGAATACTCACGAGCGAATCTGGTCAGCAGGTGTCGAGAAAGAGGTTGTGGCCTGTTCTACTTGACAGCTGGCGTTATTCATTCACCCCTGGCACGTTCTTGGCTGTCGCACGAGTGGTAGATACTCAACGCGCCCTTAGATCGTGTCGGGGGAAAGCACGCCGACAGGTTGGTTTTATCCTCGCGCAGGCATTCAAGTACACAGCAAGAAAATCGAGGTCTACCGTTACTGAAGTAAATCTACTACGGAAGAGGCCGGGCGGCGCTACCCTTTTTACCGGGTGAGCGTTGTGGTTGTCGTCGGCATCGTCGCGTATGTATAGAAACGTTTGAGCCAGTCTCGCGGGAAGGCCGTCGTCGCGCCAACCCAGAGGAGTGGCGCTGCGGTCGTCTACCGTGGCGTGATAGCTCCACGGGTCGATAACGAGCAAATCTGTGAGGCACCACGTTTTCAAAGCACGGCGAACAGAGCGTACGGACGGGCTTTCTAGACACAACAGCCGCCACAACCGAGAGACGGGTACATACAGCGGCAAGATCCTGATGTGAACGCTGCCTACTTCTTTCGCGCTCATGCTGTTGGCGTCTTCAGGTATGAGATGGGATCCCCTTCTTCCACTGACCCAATATAATGGCGAACGTCGCAGAATAGCCGTACCAAACCCCAAAATATGTACTCGAATACCCGCGTCTACATTATTCAGACCCAAGACACAAAATAACCGCCTTATTGGACAATTCCCAGAACGGCTACAAACGTAGAGAGGAGATCCGAAGGCCGTGCATGCTACATCAAAATCGCGGTAGCATCTATCCCATCGCCACCTCTGCTCGCTTGCTACCCTCCAGCGAGCGACACTCGCTAAATACAGCACATGGTTTCATCTTAAAACAAAGATGCAAGGGCTCCACCAGCATTGCCGGATCGAACTTTCAGCTGAAACAAACCTCACCGAGGTCCGTTACCCCGTATCGCTCCTGCAACAGCTTCGCCACCCCGGCGTCAAGCTTGACGATCTTCTCCGCGAGATCGCAATCGCCGGGCGACAGCAGCGGCTGGATGCCTTGGCCCAGCGGCTCGCAAGAAACCACCGAGGCCACGGGCGGATCGCGGCCGGACGCCGTCGTGATCTCCGTGAGTGCCTCATACGCCGCCGTGGATTCCGACACCATGAATATGACCTTTCCACGAGCGTGCGGGACCAAATGTCGAGGGCGTCGACCTCAAGGCGAGAGATATAGTGGTGGGAGTTTTGGGATGGAAAGAAGAAGACAGATGCTTATATCCAAGTATTTTCGCCGGCGCCCACGGGTGCCTTCCGGAGGGAGGGTTGGAATATTATCGTCTACACGGAAAGTTCTCCCAGGCCTTCCAAGCGCGGCCGTGGTGGAATACAGATGCACTCTGCCCTACCCAGGAGGGTTGTTTCAACCGTGCCGAAACCACACGCAACGAGTGCATCGGGTGCGACCCCCTTTCAATTTTTTCTTTCTTTGGTTTTCTATCGCACCCTGGTGCGGTGCCATAATCCTGATGGGTGGGAAAACCTCAGCACTAGTGCGGAAATACAAGTACAATGGATAAGTTGTTCGAAGGCACCCCCGGTGCGATAACGATATATGTAGGTGATACGCAAAGTAAGCCATAGCGGCCTTGCTGGTGCTACGGTGTTCTGTACAGGCACCTGCGATGACCCCGATAGGTGCGATAGATACTGAATAAAACCGGAGGCGCTCGCTGGGGACAGCGCATCAGCAGCGCTACGGAACAGGGTTCACGGCCAGGTACACACACACACCAAGCAAACGCCGAGTGAGCGAGTAACCGTTACAGACCAACAAGGGGCCCGTAGCCGGTAGCACGCAAGCTCACGCCCGAAGCCGCACGTTAATAATGATTTCGCAACTCGGCTCGAGCGATAACACCGATCGGTGCAACCGACGGGGGATTACTCCGAAGAGCGCGAACACCTCCATAGGTCCGTCCATTCCAAGATTTCGGTACCTGATACGATTCCCAGCGATACACGCCCCACGCGGGCAGTTTGGACTATGGGGGTATCGGAGCCAGGGTGTACATACATACCTGGGCCTTCCTCGGACACAAGAGGGGGGCTTCTAAGAGGTCGGCTTTGGCAGGCTCGGCCAGCGTGATGACGTTGAAGCGAGGCACCGCGGGGGGCTCCGGCTTCCCGTCATAATCGCTCTCCTTGATCGCTGTTGCGACGGCCGTTATCTCGGCGGCGCTGTAGGTGAACAGAACAGCACAGCAACAGCAGCCGAGTTGAAAATAAATTTGGGCAACCGGAACGCACGCATCCTGTTGGTACTCCAATCGTCGAGCCTCGTGACCATGCTCTCTGGACAATTCAATGCCATCACCGATTTATTGCCTACTGAATACGACACAAGTTGAATACACTGGACCAATTTTCAAAGCTCAATTTCTCAACAGCAGAAAGCGTCACAGCGCCGAAATGGCGGATTTGAAGCCGTCTCGTCGAAAGCTTTCCGAAAATGTATCGTTGCGTCCTCTTCGTCGCGGCGTAATCGAGCTTTGAATATCGGTTCAGGGCGTATGTTATCTTGTGTCGTATACGGTAACCCACGGGGCATGTACACAAGGGGGCCACTGCGCATAATAGCGGGATCCCTGACATCCTGCCCCCTCCCCTAGCCAAGGTGCCTCATAAAACAATAATGCACACCTAGGTACCCTTTTCTTATGGGGGAATTGTTTTTTGGGGGAAGGTGCGAAGTGACCACCCCCCCGTACTTATGAAAGGGCCACCGTGTCCTGTAAGGTTATTATTCATCTGCGTGCCCCCTATAGCCGCCGTGTGCGCGCGAGGGCGCTCGCCGCGTCTGTATGCGTGTAGTATAAACAACGAGAAGGAGGGCATGGTCAGCGCACCCTCAGTGGGGTTCGCATGGTCAGCGCACCCTCATCGGGGTGCGTATGCCTAGCCCAGGCTGTTGCGGCGCAATATTTTAGCCAGTATGTTTCCGGTGTATAGAAGAGGTAGCCTCGGACTTGAGCGAAGAGGGCGAGAGGGCAGTGAGGAAGAGGGAGGGAAGGGGGTAGGGGTCGGGGTACGGGGGAGAAAAAGAGGAAGAGGGGATGAAGAGGAGGAGGAAGAGGGGAGCAGGAGAAGGAAGAGGAGCCTGACGTACGCTCGAGGGGGCGTAAACGCACCCCGAAACGGCGGTTTAGCTCGCGTACTGTGCGTGAGAGAGAGACTGAATGTCGGAAAGTGGTAGGCGGAACGGCGGCATAGGCGATACCACATAACACTCTCATCTCATCTAATTGTATTTTGAGCTCCTACATGAAAGGCGTTCCGCGGTTTCCATCGAGCGGGTTCTTCATACCCGCGCGTGGAGGCGGGATGCTACTCCCGGCTTTTGGAATCACTGAAACTTGATTCGAGGGTAGATGTGGTGTGGACGATGTGGATGACTGTCGTGTGCCAACGACACGTTCTTAGCTCCGGCATTTAATGGGCATTTTAGTGTCACAGATAGCGTTTGATCTCGGTACGACACGTTCAACAGGGTTGATGCGTGCACTTTTGAATGCATACGATGAAAAAATAGCTCAAAAACAAGGGGAAAAAAGAAAATAATCGGAAGGGACAACATTTTTCGGGCACCCTTGCCCCAGTCCGAATTTTTCTTCCCTCCTGTTCTGTGAAGACGTTTGTTGCATAGGATTTCGTGTAGTACTAGCAAAACCTATACTTTCATTGCTGTTGTAGGTTTATGTATAACGCAGTGAAATGTTTGGGGGTACTCTGCACTCGATACTGATCTACGGAGATCTAGGGGGTTTCGTGTATCATTAGCGGTATGTGTTGGTAGAGGGGCGGTCCCCCTTCTGCTGTGGGCTAGCATGCCCGGCGCACTCGTTAATATACCAAGGTCCTGAGTCAACCTTTCTTCTCTGCGCTTCTGACAACAAGCTGCCCGCCTCCAAAACACGATCATGCAGAATCACTGCTGGTTGCACTGCCATCGACAATCATGGGGGGGGGATGTCTTACCATGACCCCCGCTGCAGTACAACAAGCAGTGTGTTGGCTTGCACGGGTTGATGTTTGATGTTTGGATTTTAGCTTCTTCTCGTACCACACGTATATAGCCTTGAAGGCTTGATTGGATCTTTCATGTTGGAGGAAGGATATCCCGGCGGGGGAGGTTGTTGAATATCGGTTCATATTTAGGTATCCGCAGTAAGTCGTAGGGTTTCCTTGGTGTTTCCGTATGTACACATTGGGGTATTTCTTCATCTTGACTGCATTTATTTCTGTGTTTTGGATTTTAGATTTGATTCATCCTTGACGAACCTTCTTGAGGAGACTGTATGCTGAGGGAAAATGCGTTTGGCATCGTAAGGTTCAGGGGAGGTCACAGAACTACTATTATACGGTATTGTGAGGTTTGAGTGGATGGCATGATGAACGACTGTTAAGTTGTTTGTTTGGCATTGACTATCGCCTTTTTACCTATAGTGATGATTGAAGAGTTTCTTAGATCATATGGAGTACAGAGTAGGGGGATACTGTGTACTCGATACTGATCTATGGAGATCTAGCTAGGGGGTTTCGTGAATCATAGCGGTATGTGTTGGTAGAGGGGCGGTCCCCCTTCTGCTGTGGTGCATGGGCTAGCATGCCCGGCGCACTCGTTAATACACCAAGGCCCTGAGTCAACCTTTCTCTTCCGCGCGTCTGACAACAAGCTTCCCGCCTCCAAACATGAAAAAACCATACTGAAGCAAACAAGAGAGGTGATGTAGAGGTCATGTGCTGCATCACCATTCTAAATCCTATACAACACAACCATGAACAGTTTTTTTGCATGACTTGTTACTACACAATCGACCCCCGCCCCCCGGATTGGCCGTTGATCCATTTTGAGCAGGACGTCAGGAATCCCGCTACACGAGTCCTCGTTACGTGTATACAGAGCAGCCGTGTTCACCTGAGCTGATCGAGGGGGTGGGTAGACGACATGTTTCTTCCTGGCTGTTGGAGATGGCAGTAGAGTTGCTGTCTGGACGGGGACTTGCCGCTCGCGGACATGCTATAGGATTGAGTCCTTGGTGTTGAAGGCCGCGAGGGCACCGTGGACCAGCGTTCTCCCAGGTTCTCCTTATTCTTTGCGTGACGGCCGCACAACGATGGTCTTACGTCTTACCTGTGGCCTGTTGCCCAACGTATGGTCCAGCAGTTTGGCGCGGCGCTCCACAAATTGAAAGAGGCGTTTCGGCGAGCGAAGCGCATTGTGCCTCCGTCTATTTGGCACTTTAGTTTCGACGGTTGGGGTGGCAACTTCACCGGTTGGCCTGCTCGACTTTTTCCTGCAGTCCTCAGTCTGCAGCAGGCTAGCAGTAGTCAAGCCAGCTATGCATAGTTGGTGTTGAGTTGTAGGGGTTGACGGTGATTCACAGAGGGGGGAGTGTGGTCATCGCCAGAGGGATTTGTTGATCTTGGTCTGCTTTGCGGTTGATTGTGCCGGTCTGCGGTCTGTGGTTTGTGTAACGCGCCGTTCCAGACTACCGACAGGGGAGGAGAGGCGCCGCCACATCACTTCATTAGCAAGAATGCCGCAACCTTATAGCGTTAATGGCGTCTGGTACCACCTGGAGTTCCTGCTCTCTTGCACAAGTGAGTGAGAGCGAGCCAGACCATATGTAGACTGTGTGCGGGGAGATTTTCATACTTGAGAACCAAAATCATGTTATATATACAAGGTCTCCAGGCTCGGGCGCCAGGCGCCCTTGCCTGCAGCTCAGTATTACGCTGAAAGGAAAGGGTGGAGGGTGAAGACTGTGCACAGCATACCAAGGGCACGAAGCTGGAAAAGACGTTCACCTGAATAAAGCACATTTTCTGAATGAAATATTGTCTTCCCTTTTCGTTATTTCCCGTCCAACTTGCTCGTTGTTGCCGCCCTGAATGTTTGGTCCCGGCGAACACCAAAGAACTGTTCAAGATACTTCAATATGTGGCTGTACACGTAGCGTATGTCACCAAAAACATATTTCAAAAATATAAACAAGAAAACTACATTCATATATATTTTGGCGCGTACGAGAGAAAATACGACACACACACCCCTTCCTTACGAACCATTTTCTCGGGAGATCAGTATCGGAGCTAATTTGCTCACGGGAGGGGATGATGAACTTATCATCCCCTTTATTTGATATTCTTCCTTTGACCACCCATCCCGTCCGAGCATGAAAAAATTGTCATATATGCAAGGTGAATCGATTTCTAAGCGTCTTTAAAAACAACCCGGCCTTCCTTATATTTCCGGATTTCCCAACTAACTGTGAAAAGAAGGATCGTCCTCCACAGACGTTGGGGAGATAGTACCTTTCTTTATGAAGGTGTCTCCACATTCCTCCCCCTTTTTCGAGACTTCTTCCTGTTTGCTAGGCAAGAGAAGTTTCCATAGGGTAACCGGAACCCGACCGGCTGGCGGCGGGGCGATTTACTTCTGCACAATCCTCTGTGTGATTACACGGATTCACTACGTCCGCCATCTCGCTCGCCACAACCACCACTCGCACGGACGGATACCACACCGCCGCGAATTTCATCCCCGCATACAGGGCCACCGCTGACAACGGCCCCTTGCCTTTATCGCTTTCATACGGCGTCTTTTTTGTTTTCCCCATTCCCTCCTCAGATTATTCCCCACCCCCGTCTTCTGTCCGCTTCACGTTTTGTGATCGGGCCTCGACCATTCATTCCACGAAAGTCCCTTTCGTGTTCATTTTATTTTGCAGAACACTGATCTACGCAACGGACAGACGTATACGTACCGACATTACATCGTCTACCTAACGAAGACGACTTCGAGTACCCTTTTTCCGAAGCGATGTCATCATTGCGTCTACTTCCCCTGCTTATCGAACCGTCGCACCCATCCCACGCATGCTGGCCGCCCGCCCCATTGGGGGGCGGGGGGCCAATCGTTCCCCGTAGTGTATGTACAATTACAGCACAACTGCCGCACGTGCTCCCTCTCGGTTCTCAGTCGGTGGTACAGACGTGAAGCTGGTGGCAGCGTGTATATCGAAGGTGGCACCTGGGCTGTCGGGCTGGATAGCAAACTTGGCTGTCTGTGAAGGCAAGGCTGGGCGTGCTCTGGAGCTATGCTCCAGATCCGGAAGCATAGACTATACGTAAGAAGACGAGAATATATAGTCTATAGACTAGCCTTCCGCCACCGAGCGGCTGAACTGACCACAAGTTATCGAACGTCTAGCTTGTTTGGCCGAAACTCGTTTTTTTCTTTTCTCTATGGCGTACCCTAAATAGGTTTTAGCGTGGGCTTCTTGACGGAGCACCTGTTCTTGTAGCCAAGTTCTCCATCCGTTCTATGCATACAAACACTCGTCGTCAAGGCAGCGTCAGGGTAGTCCTCCTTCACGCACCGGGACAGGGCAGTTAACAATACACCAGAAGGTCCATGACATGTGGTTTATCCGGTGCCCTTGAGCTTCAGCATCTTTCCCCGCCCCCGCGTCCCTGAGCGCGCTGCTCATCTTGGAACCTGTGTAGCCTTCGGCAGGAGCCGTTGAAAGGGTATCCTACCGACAGCGACAGGGAGACCTCAATCCTTCGCTAGCAATTTGAGAATGGAAAGAAGAGCCTTTCCTGACCGTTTTCTGATGTACCTCGAGCCTACGTTGTTTGTCCGATTGATTCTTGTAATTCGTGGTCATCGCTGTCTTCAGAATGAAATTTACAGAGTTCACTACCGCCTTTCGCTCTACCCTGTTGAGGGAAGATATGGCTGTATGCAAGTACACAATGCAAACCACGTACCCATGTGATAGTGGTTTACTACCCTCTTCTGCTTGCTGAACTTCGATGAATGATCGATGCCAGACACGAATTTTCTCCAGGTGGCCTTCCTCCCAAATCGAGTTCCGGACGTCAACCTTCCCTGTGATGGATGAGGGCGAGCGGATCACTCAAGTATTGTACATTTGTTGTCACCCCGTTCGAGACTACTGCAAGCGAACGCGGCACATCCCTCTGCGCAAGTCTGACGAAACGCCTACGTACCTACATCTGATGTTCGCAAGAGCGTTGCCTGCTGTAACCCCCGCACTAACGCCCACGTGACGCAACTTGTGCTTTCGCCACCCCAATCTCCGATGGGGCGCCCGCCATGTCGAACCCAACAGCGCAGAAAAACATAGTATGAAAACTTGATCGATTCCACGCTCGTACACGTCATCAAACGCGCGCCCGCTTACCTCGCACCACTAAACACCGCACTAAAATACAAATAGAAATTGTCACCAAATCAAGGCAGGGCTAAACTAGGTTGTCCGAAGACCAGCACATAACCCGGTGAGAGACGCATCGCATTCGTGGCGACCGTATCCCACGCCTGCCGATCGCATCACAGCAGTATCTACAGTATAGGTCCCTGTTTAAGGCCACTATGGTCTCAGGGAAAACACCGGCCTCCTACGGGGCACCGGACCCTATTAAGAGAATGAGAAAAATTGAAAATCAATGTATGCTATGCGATTTCATCGGCCTTGAACAGGACAACCGGCCTAAAAAAATGGGCACAAAAACAGGACCCTCCCTGTACCGTCATTACCCTTTGCCCCGCACCCCGCTCCCATCCGTTGTTCAGATATATATACATGTACAGAACTTCGACACAACTCAAGGACATCAGTAGGTGCCCGCAAACGAGAAATATCCCGTTCAGATAGTGAGGCTTACGTTACGAATTTGACAGTAGGATAAAGAAACACAGCTCAGCGATGGATCCTATTCACTATTCCCTGTTATGTGATAGCCTGTGCTCGCGGTGGTGAAAGCGTAGTTGTAAG